GAACCCAAATCTGCTGGGTTCGCTGGAACCCAGGCAGGGTTCCGTCGAATCCAGCAAACTGGGTTCAATGGCCTGCCGAGAAAGAAGAGGAAGAAAGAAGAGGAAGAAGAGGAAGAAGAGGAAGAAGAGGAAGAAAAAGAGAAAGGAAGAAGACATAAGTTTTTTATTTTTTATTTTTAATGAGTTACATTTGCGAAGAGTCAAAGACTTGGGTCTTTTTTATATTTTTTTTTGGCTGGTCATAAACTTTCATCTCTAAGTAAAACTACAAATTTTTTAAAGATGATGAACATATTTTTTCACTTAATTGATTATAAATTTGGTAGAAAACTAGCTAATCTTCTATTCATGACTCATAATTAGGCTCAAATTAAAATAATAATGATAGTATAAATCTAAATCTAATTTATTGAAGACTTTTCGATGTGGAACAGGTTAGGGCTAAGGTAGACTTAAGGACTTAGAGGCTTATTTGAAGATAGTTTTGGCTATGAATAGGGTGCATGAATAGTAAAAAGAAGGTTAGGAGTTTAGTTTACAAGACAAGGAAGAATGAAGAACCCTAGGAATCACTCTTAGGCACCCTTAGGAATCACTCCTAAGGTAGATTGCTTCACACAATCAAGAGCAAACTTGCTAAAAAAATCTGAATATTATTAACTGCCTATCCAAAGAAACTTACACAGATGTATATATATATATATATATATAAGAACTTCATCCAACAAGATGATGATGGGGTACGTGCATCACATCTTGATGGTATGATAGACAGAGAAAGGCTTTATCATGGAAATAATCAAGCAACTGCAACTTTTAATCAACTAATGGAAGATGTGAATACACCATTATATCATGATTGCGAAACTTTTTCTAAATTTTCTTTTGTTGTTAGGTTATTCCAAATGAAATGACTAAATAGCTAGTCTGATAAATCCTTTACCATGCTTCTAAAATTATTGAATGAAGCATTCCTTGAAATCAAAATTCCAGCTTCTACTTATGCAATAAAAAGGTTCCCTAAGTCCTTTGGCTTAGGTTATCAAAAGATTGCAGCATGCCTTAATGATTGTATGTTATTTAGAGGGGATAAGGAAAATCTAGAGTCATATAAAGTTTGTGGTACTTTTAAGTGATCCCAAACATTAAATGAAAGCCAACAACCAAAAGAGTCAAGTAAAATTGCCAAAGAAAAAAATTAAACTAGCAAAGATTTTGTATTACCACCCTCTAATACCTAGGCTCCAAAGACTTTTTATATCATCTAAAACTTCTACTGACATGAGATAGCATGATGAAGGTTGTACTAAGGATGGAAAACTTAGACACTCTGCTAATGGTGAAGCTTAGAAAGAATTTGATCAACAATACCTTGATTTTGCATTCCCACAACATTAGGCTTGGTCTAGCTAGTGATGGTTTGAATCCATTTCGGCAAATGAGCAATGTCTATGGTATATGACCAGTAATTTTAATCATATACAATCTGCTAACCTGGTCTTATAATTTTTTTGTATTTTTATTAATTTTTTATATTTTTTTAATCTCTCAATTCAGAAAAAATACACAATTTTAGTTATTGTTAAATAAGCATAATGTGACTATTAAATAATTTCACGTGACATTTTCTTTTAAATCTTTCGAAGATGTGACAATAATATATCTTATAATTATATTATATAAACAAATAAAAATGTCACATCATATAAATATTTATATTTTAA